CGTTCCCATACTCCTCCGAAACGGCTTGTCCAATTCTCATGAAATTTTGTGAGCATATTGAGTAGGCCTGAGGATCGGCCAACATCTATTTTTAATCCCGCGCGGAGGGAGTCGCGGGCAACAGCTAGTTTATATATAACGTACTGAGTTCGAATGGTTTTTAATTTAACTAGATTTGGGACATAATCAAAAGAAAATGTATAAAAAATACAAAATTACTAAAACACATAAGAACAATTAATTAACATATTGCATATATAAGCGTTTAGAAATTAGTTTCATTAAATTTAAACAAGTCCGTTATTCTTTTAGTAAATAAACGGCAAATTATAATATGTTCGAAATTAACTAAAGAGTTAACTGTTGACCTCCAAAGTGATAAACTTATTCCATTACCTTCTATTTACGAAGTGAAGGGAAGGTGAAATATCTAAATATCAAATTACACAATGAAAGAAAAATTCTTACTAGACTTTGATATCTAGCATACGATACATATTGCACATTCCTTCATCTACTTACAAATTCGAAACATAAAACAATTAAAAAAGAAAAAGAAATTAAAAGAGAAACAATTTTTAATCTGTACAATTTACTATAATAATTCACTAATAATATGGATAAAACAGTAGAATCTACGAGTAGTTAATAAAAACTTCGATGAATATTTTTTAGGTTATGTCTTATACACTGGATATATCATTGGTTGTCCTTGTAGCGCGTGCATAACGTTGTTAGCTGATATTGTTGCCATTGCATTCCTCGTGGCAATTGTTGCACTGCCCAAATGTGGCACTATGACTAAAAACAAATATTTAAATAAAGTTAAGATAATTTAACAAGTACCATGAGATTATGATTGTTTCCTATGAAAGTAAACTCGCCAGACGGATCGACACTGAATTCAGATATTTGTGCAGTCAACCATCCTTCACTGAGCCATCGTGATTAACCTAAACGGTACGGAACAAGTAAAAAGACCTAGTTACCCGAACTTGGGTAAACACCGAGTTGGGGACGACAATATTATGAAGTTGATACAAGTTAATTTTAAAAGAGGTACCATTTGATTTCGGCGGAGGTATAAGGAATTTAATATCTTTTAAAATGTACTTACAGCAATTTGGAAGTGTAAGAAGAGGGTGGTCTTTAGGCAGCGGCTCAGGAGTGACAACATCCAGACCCGCGGAAAATATTTCACCGTGCTTGAGTGCGTTGTATAATGCTTCTTGATCAACGAGACCTGAATTCAATATTTACTCATGACGAACCATGCAAATATACAGAGAAATTAATGGATTATTTCTATAAAATTAGAAAAATCAGATAAAATAAACAATTAACGAAAAGTTTACGAGTTGCGAGTTCACTTCGCATAAAAACCGTGGTGAAATTTTGGCAACGTGTTAATAGAAATCTAAAAAAGTTCCATATTTAAACTACCTCCTCTTCCAATATTAACGAGAACGGCGTTTCTCTTCATTAACTTTAACGTGTTCGCATTAATTATGTGTCTGGTCTCATCAGTCAGCGGACAGGAGAGAAGCACGAAGTCGCTCTCTCTTAGCAACTG